ACTGTCAATTTTCAAGAAATACATTTCGATTTATAACCTTTATAATCTGTGTTTATAAAATTTAAAAATGTGACATTTGACGGTGACACACAGATTCCCCTATTGTTTCATAGATGGCGCTCTATACAAATTTTTGATAGTATTTGTCGTAGAAAAAGTATAGTATGCACCTCGTTTATAAACTTTTCTATACACTCATTAATTTCGTGTACAAAATGGCGTTTATCAAACTACATAATATACTATTATAGCACATATTTCTTCAATTTCTTGATTTCTTTTACTTACATTATGTTAAAAAATTAATATTTTTCATACAAATAGACTAATTTTTCCAATTAAACTTTAATGTTTATATAAATTTTTAGGAAAAATAATTATATTTTTTACAATGCGTTTTTGAACTATTAACTGCCTTTAAGAATAAAATTGCTTTAAAGACGCTTCTGTTGACAGTAAAACATATTTTTACGACAAAATTAAAAAAAATTTTTTAAAGAATTTTAAGAAGTAATAAAAAATATGAAGCCAATATAACTATAATTATCCATTGTTGTAATAACCAGTTTTAAAGCCCAAAGTCGTTTTTGTGAAGATTATTTTTTTTTAGATAGAGGGATATAAATAGCACTCTAATATTTTATTAATCACTATCCCAAATTACTTAATTATTGAAGCTCGCTAAATCCACCATCAAAACGCTTAATGTCTTTATTATATCACGACACAAATGATCTTGCTGTATACAGGAGGTGTTCATCGACAACAAAATAAATCCATCCGGTGGCAAGTGTTATTGTTCGGAATTAATGCAGCATCGTTACGGGGTAATAAACGAGTACAAGTGGTGTGCACGTCCCCTCTCAAGTATTGAGAGCAACACACCAAACATTCGGAACATTACCGCGTCGCACAGATGCGTCGCGACGGCCTAAACTTCCACTCCAACTCATCCGGAGTAAATTGTTTTGCCACGTGGCCACTGGAAATAATCAACCCCCTGCCTGTCCGCTCTCTTACATTACTGGTTGTGCATTTTGCAGTTCGTTTAGTCTTTACACACTAAAAATTATTTGTTAATTTTAACCAGATTTTATGTTAATCCACATAACTTTATGTTAAGTTTACAACCAAGTGTAATCTGTTAACTAATTGAATACTCTGAAAAAAAAGATTTCTTATAATATTCTTATAATTTCTTATATTTCTTTATTTAGAATCATCTTGAAAATATTTTTTAATTCAAATCAATTTGCTTTAAAATAAGAATATATATATTAATTAAAAATATTTAACTATAGTATACTTTAAAAAAGAATATTGTATTTTTGGAAATCTTAGTTGGTTTCTTGGTACAATTGTTAATATTTTTTATATCAAGAATTAAAATTTTTTATTTTTTTTATTTGCACACCTTTTTTAAATTTAGCGTCTTATTTACATGTAGGTAGGTATACCTATAGGTGTATTGTTTAAATATTTACTAATATGCATTAAGGATGCCTAAATATATGTAAATGAGTGATTTGTTTTAGAAGTAATTTTGTTACAACTTTGGGGTATAACATTTATTTTGATTCATATATGGTGGAGTTCATTGGCAATAGCCCTAAATTATTTATTAAAATTGGTAATTGCTATTCTACTATGCCTAAAATATTACAAATTATTTCAAATAAAAAATATGTCGATAATGATTAAGTTCCCTACGTTAATTTATAATAATGTATTCATTTTAGGTTTTTCTTGTATTAAAAACAAAATAAATGTGTTTGTTTACCGTTTGTGTTTTTATTTTCTAACCTAGATTTTTTTATATATAAATATTTAAATACTTAAGGATTATTCAAAATTGAGCCAAAATTATAAGTATACTGAAGGATATAACATTGTATCGTTTCTAGGTGGTGCAGTAACCAAAAAAATCTTTATAAAGTTTTGTTTATGATTAGACAAAAATCCTTAAAAAATTATAGGGTATTTAAAATAACACCAGTGTTTAGACGTATTTTTATTTCTCTTGCAGTAATATTCCTAAATATAAAGATGTTTATTATTAAAATAAATAATTTTTAGTTAATGGACTAATAGATTTTTTTAAACATTGCTAAAAGTAGCTTAAAATTAAGATTCATTATATTTTTTACTTTGTTTAAAAATAAATATTATTTTGTAATCAATGAAATAAAATTTCAAATCTTATATCTATTAATTAAAAAAAAAAATTGGGTTGTAGTCTACAACCCAATTTTTTTTTACAACTTGTAGAAAACATCTTTATTTAAGAAAATGATTGTCTTATTTCAATATCACATGTGTATTCTTGAGTTAAGTAAGTACCAATCTTTTTTATTTAAGAATACCTACCACTGATTTATTTTTAAAAGAACATATTCTTGATTTAAAACAACCAATTATTTGGTTTTATTTCAATATCTTACTTCGGATTTTTTTTTTAAATCTATTTTTTTTATTTAAAAATATTGCTGCCTTATTTCAAAAATTAGATATTCTTGCTTTTAAACAATCCATGGTGTATGTTGGTTAAGGAATTTAGGTATGTAACATACCATATGTTATTAGTATTTTTTTATCGATAACAGTATTAATTGTTTTCAACATATATCTACCGTCCTCAACAGAAAATGAAATAAAGAAAATAATTAAATTAGTGTAATGGTTAAGGAATGGATCCTTGCGGAGCACTCCAAGGATACAATACCCCTTTATTAATCGAAGTTTATGAAATGAGCTTTCCGACATTAACCCTATTACCGCCTTAAATTGTTTCTTAGCGCATTAACCGAGCCATTTCCTTCTCAAAATTTAATTAACTCGCGCTCTCTCCTCAAATCTATTATACACTTTTTAATATCTTCTTTACAATAATCACCTATAACCTCATTATTGTTATGGTTAGTTGCTTAATTAATTAGCTCGAACTTTACAGGCATTTGTTCGCAAGAATCAGCTGTTGGAAAACAATGGACAAAATGACATGTAAACAAATGTTTATTGCGCTGCGGGCAAACTCACTGCCGCCGTGGAGAGGGTCGGGAGGATTTGGAGGATAGTTAGTCGGATTCCCCGGGGGACGGCCAAGGGATGAATCTTGAAGGAGGGGCGGCTTTTTGGACAAATTGCCGCCCTCTGGGTTGCCATTTACAGGTCGCTCAGAGGTATTTCACATTTTTTCAAGAAAAATACTTAATTCTGTGTTAGGTAGGTACAGTTTAATCTGTGGTCTATGTTTATGTAAAATGCCAGTAGCACAAACAATTTTATTTAAAAAAATTGTTTGTTAACCTTTTTTTAGTCAATCTTCTAGTTTTCCACCATGCCATTGCAATATTTAGGCTTAAACTCCCCTACGAAGGTCCTTGATTTTAATTGTTAAATGCATGTTTTAATAATTAAAATCAAATGGCCTATGTGGTGAGTGGAATTTAAGCTCAAATACTAACAACGCTGGCAGTTTCAGTGAAGATCAGAAGCTTTTGAATAAAGCAATACATACTATTGGACCAAGAGATACCTATTTGTTGTAAAATCAAAAAGTTTTCTTCATAAAAACAATATCTTCCGAAGAAATATTTTTGGTTCTTTTACCAAGAAATCGCTTGCCCTTGATTTAAGCTTATATTGTAATATCCTTAAACGAATGGATTAACCTCTCCCCTCGAGTAATTTAAAAAAAATTGATGAAAAGATAGTTTCTGATTTGGATTAAAAAAAATATTTCTTGGCCCTATTTAAAAGCGCAAATCTTTTTAATCTAAATATATATATATAAGTATATAATATATAAGTATTAATATTCAGCGACATTTTATTTTAAGGATCTGTCATATCTATAGATATACATAACCATATTCGGTAAAGTATAATTAAGTAGAGTTTAAATAAACTTAAACCGGTTAATTATAGTAGTTAAAAAACCAAAAACCAGAGCTGGCCAAGTATACTCAGTATACTGAGTACTTTTACTCTTATTACTCTTACTTACAAACCAAATTCAATGTACTCGTAAAAAATACTCGTGGAATTCACGAGTAATATAGGTATACGAGTTTTCCGTTTATTATATCGATGACTTTTTGCCAAAGTATTTTGTTTGGAAGTCTGTTTTAAATTATATAATATATAGTATAATATAATATATTATAGCCTCTAGGTTTTATAACAAGTAAAAAGGTAAAATTATAAACTATTTAAGAGTTGTTATTATTTTATGTTTAATATAAATAATAAATAAATAATTTTATAAATATGTATTTGTATTTTTATAGCTCAGGACCAAAGTATATATATACATACATTATATATAATGTACACTCTATATAATATGGAAAATGGACTATATCTAAAAAACTGTTCTACTTTTCTAACTTTTGACGACATTTTCGGATTCACGGAACAATTTTACATGAAAATTATCTGCTAAATGCTAAAAATACAAATTTCTATTGGCGAGTAATAAGTAATAATCAATTATACCTATTAACTAACATTTTTTTTTCAAAAGTACTCGTTCTCTTTACTCGTGTTTTCTACTACTCGTAACCGTAACCGTAACCTCTCTTTGCAAATGTACTTACGAGTAAAGTACTTACGAGTAAATATTTTAAGTATACTTAAGTAGGTATACGAGTATACTCGTACTTAAAATTTTACGAATACTTTTTTAGTACTCGCTCTGCCAAAAACTACCAAATATTACCTTCTTTTTAACCAAAAGAAGTTAAATTTAAATAACATAACGTTAATTTTAGCATAATCGAATTCCCCACTTTTTTTACAAAATAACGGTAATTTAAGGTTAATTTAGCGTTCTATTACAATATTACTTAAATGAATTAACCAGGCAAAACGTAAATTTCAATTTTAATTTAATTTAAGAATACTTTAACCATATTGCTTATGCTGGTTTAGTGATTGTTAAATTGACAAAACCTTAAACCTTAAGATCTGTCAAGTTGACATTAAAGTTGAAACATGACAAACAATGTCTTCCTAAAATACCTTCCAGTAAAGTTATGTCAAAATTCTATTATAGAAATCCATGTCGTTCATGTTAAATTTCATATAAAATGATAACTATAAGTCTATCATTATTGTGTACTGTTGTATTTAGAAGGTTTTTGGATTCATATTCTGGCAGAATCGTAAGTAATGAGTTTAACCTCTTTGATTTGGAATTAACGTTGCAAAAATTTCAGCCCAAAGTTATTCCTACAAGCAACTGTAATGTAACAAGCACAATGGTTATCCTATCTGGGGCTCTCTACTATTTATATTCGCATCTACGTAAGGGGACATTGGTGAGAATCGGAACCAAAAACCACCTCAACTTGCACAAGATATCGTCATCGCAATGCGGAATTCAGTAAGTTTGCCAAAAACCGATAATGTTTTTATGGCTTTAAATTGATTTTTTAGAAAGCGAAAATCGCAAAAAAATGTTGGTTGGTTTTTCCGAAACGCGCATTCTTGCAAGAGCAGGTGCACGGAAGCACTTTACAGGGTTGCCAAGCAATCCTACGACTCGCTGCTCAAAGCCACTAAATCAAAAGACGACAACGTTTCAAATTCGACGTGCTGCATCAAAGAGGCCACTTCTCAGCCATCTTGCAACGCCATTTACGACCACCAGGATTACCGTGTGAAAGAGCAGGTGGACAGATCGGTGCAGAACATCATATCGGCCGATCAGATGAAAGCAGACGGTAAGAAAATCAAGAGGATATCATTCAAATTGGACGAGGACGAAATCAAGCGAATCCCGAGCCTACCGAAATTGAAGAGAAACAAAAAGGTTCGTCAAAAATCAGTTAAAATCACTAGGAAAACACGGAGCGGGAGGATCTATAGCATATATCTATAGTTTACCACATCAAAATTTAATTGTTTTAAAGTTGATTGAAAATATACGAATTTAAGTAGAGTAATGGTTTTTTATTTTTGTAGTTGTTGGCGTGCAACGACATGATCGTGATTTTAAAGTGGCCCACGCGGCGAACAACCGAATTGAGTTCGAGAAGACCTAAACTTCAACCGAAACCTATTATTTACTGCAAAAAATCTAAAAACAAATTATCTGTAGGCTCTAAAGTTGATTGTTAAATGCTGCAAATTAATAAATAACGTCAAATTTTAAGTCTTTTATTGAACACTTTTCGAGATTATTCACAAATTGTGACAGTTTTGGTTATCTTAAAGTTAAGACCAACTTTGACAGTCTGTAACTTACCCAATTTTGAAAATAATTATATTTAATTTTAGATAATTTTATTCTCTTTGAGAATATGTTAATACTTTAATATGCCCAGAACTAATTTTTCGAGATAAGCCACAAAATATAAAGTCCTGTCAATTTTATTTCTCTTAAAATTAAGACCACCTTTGGCAGTCTGCAGTTTTGTTATTTTTTACCCAATTTTAACAATAATTACATCAAATGTTAGATAATTTTATTCTCTTTGAGAATATGTAAATATCTTAATATGCCCAGCACCAATTTTTCGAGATAATCCACAAAATACGAAGTCCTGTCAATTTAAGTTCTTTTAAAATTAAGACCAACTTTTACACTCTGCAGTTTTGTTATTTTTTACCCAATTTTAACAATATATTGTTAAAATTGGGTAAAAAATAAATAAATATAATTCCATAAAATGTTTGATAATTTTATTCTCTTTAAGAATATGTAAATATATTAATATTCCCAGCACTAAATTTTCGAGATAATGCACAAAATATAAAGTCCTGTCAATATTAGTTCTTTTAAAATTAAGACCAACTTTAACAATCCGTAGTTTTGTTATTTTTTACCCAATTTTAACAATAATTACATCAAATGTTAGATAATTTTATTCTCTTTGAGAATATGTAAATATATTAATATTCCCAGCATTAAATTTTTGACATAATGCACAAAATATAAAGTCCTGTTAATATTAGTTCTTTTAAAATTAAGACCAACTTTAACAATGCGTAGTTTTGTTATTCTTTACCCAATTTTAATAATAATTACATCAAATATTAGATAATTTTATTCTCTTTGAGAATATGTAAATATCTTAATATGCCCAGCACTAATTTTTCGAGATAATCCACAAAATATAAAGTCCTGTCAATATTAGTTGTTTTAAAATTAAGACCAACTTTAACAATCTGTAGTTTTGTTATTTTTTATCCAATTTTGAAAAATATTATATCAAATGTTATATAATTTTATCCTTTTTGAGAATATATAAAAATCTCAATATGTCCCAGTAAAAATATTTCGAGATAATCCACAAAATGTAAAGTCCAGTCAATTTTAATTCTGTTAAAATTAAGATCAACTTTGACAGTAGTTTTCTTATTTTGAAAAAATATTAAATAAATTCATCCACTCTTAAAATTTAGACCAACTTTGAGAGTCTGTAATATACCCAATTTTAAAAATAATTATATTTAATTTTAGATAATTTTATTCTTTTTGAGAATATGTAAATACCTTAATATGCCCAGAACTAATTTTTCGAGATAATCCACAAAATATAATATAAATTACATCAAATGTTAGATAATTTTATTCTCTTTGTAATAATATGTAAATATCTTAATAGGCCCAGCACTACATTTTTGAGATAATCCACAAAATATAAAGTACTATCAATATTAGTTCTTTTAAAATTAAGACCAACTTTGTTAGTTTGTTATTTTTTACCCAATTTTAACAATAATTTCATGAAATGTTACATAATTTTATTCTCTTTGAGAATATGTAAATATCTTAATATGCCCAGCACTAATTTTTCGAGATAATCCACAAAATATAAAGTCCTGTCAATATTAGTTGTTTTAAAATTAAGACCAACTTTAACAATCTGTAGTTTTGTTATTTTTTACCCAATTTTGAAAAATATTATATCAAATGTTATATAATTTTATCCTTTTTAAGAATATATAAAAATCATAATATGTCACAGTACAAATATTTCGAGATAATTGACAAAATGTAAAGTCCTGTCAATTTTATTTCTGTTAAAATTAAGATCAACTTTGACAGTACTTTTGTTATTTTTACCCAATTTTGAAAAAATATATATCAAATATTAAATAATTTCATTCACTGAGATAGTTCACACAGTATAAAGTTCTGACATTTTTCGTTTTCTTAGTATTCTATTAGAGCACAATTGAAAATTGTGAGAAAGAAGGCTAAAGTTTGCCTAGATTAAAATAAGACTGAATAGATTCGGGTGTAAGGCCTTTGGGGAATCGCAGCTAAGATTGTTTTCCCTACGCCAATCTGCGTAGACTGGTAAAACGATGCCCCAGGCCCCGCACGGGACAATGACGACAATCAGTCAGATGTTCACTCCTCTTAGTTTATTTTCTTTGCTCTGAAAAAATGGCTTTCAGTCTAAAAATTTCACAAATAATTGTATGGTAAACAGTTTTACATTTTATTAAAAAAAAATAAAGGAGAATGACCAAAAAATGTTTTTTGACAAAAAAATCCTAAAATCCTTATCTGCGCCACTGTATTTTACTGCCTTGAAGCTAATGGCTTTTGTTTTTAGCCACCACCGCACATTTTCCTAAAATACGACCAGCAACTTTCAACTCCACCAGGGTCGCCCACACACAAAACACCCTTCAGAGAAAATTTGCTAATCAAACAGCGATTTTCGCCCCTTGCAAAAACTTAGGAACGCCAATGCTGCTAAGTTCCCCGAAACTTTTTATAAGCTGTTTTCTGCTGATTGCCCCGGGACCAAATCGGACAATAAGCTTTTAAATTAAATTGTTTACGATATACCTACCTACTTTGGATAATGAAATTGCCGAAAAATATTATTTTTTTTAAATGGCAAGTGCTTTTGATATTGGGTGTATTATTTTTATTGGAAGGTGAGTTTTTAACTTGTTTGTGTCCAAATTGTACGAATATATCTTGAACATCGCATGAAAAAACTTGAAAAACAAAAACGGCAAAATAAAGTTAATTAAACGGAGGACATCACATCCCATTAAATCAAGATGGCACCCTTAACGCGCTCATTTGTTTCACGCTTTTTGTCTCTCGCTCGAAACTCGACAACCATCTATTAATAACAAAATTAACACAAACAAACCAAAACTGCATAGAACATTTGTTTATTACCCTCCAGCAATCTTATCTGCGATGAACTTTTGACAAATTCGTCAAGTAGCGAGCAAAATGACAATACTTCATCAGATACGTTACGTGCGACACGTGTGTCAAACGATGCTCCTTTGTTTGTTGCCACGTGACTCCCGACGACCATCGCTCAACTAGCAAATTGAAGTTTAATCGGGTTTCACTTGTTTCTCCTCCCGATTGCTTTCCGAACAAGAACTAGTAGATTACAAGAATTACCAGAGGGGAAATATTGTCTACCTTTGTTTTGTAGTTTTAAGGGCTAATTTGGACCCATGTTAAGTTTTTTTGTTTTTTAAGGTATTCTATCATAAATTACCTAGGATTTTAGAACGTAAAACTTAAGAAAAAATTAAAGATTAATAATAATCCGTTTTTAAAAATGTTGTGTTATGCAACTAACATTGCACTTATCTGTAGAGTTGCTTGTATTGTTAGTTCATTTTTTTATTTGGACTTAATTAAATACTCTGACACTGTCAAATTGACATTAATATTTATTATTTATAATTTACTTTTTAATTATTATAATATCAATTTAAAAAGATAACTATGCCAAAAATAATATCAGATTATACCTAAAGCACATTGCCTTATGGACATTTTTGGAGTAAAAAACGTTTTTGGTTTTACAAATCACAAATTACAAATCACACATTATTTTCAGGTAGGTAAGCAGATCAAAAATTTTTTAAATATTAAAAAATAAAGGGGAAATAAAAAAACAAAAAATAAGAATAATTCTTATTATTATATATTATTATTATTATATTCTTATAATTATTAATTGCTGTTAGGTTCAACCATATTGTGAAAAATCTAGTAGTTAGTTTTTCTGCCTTTGAAAATAGCATCCATTGGGCTTTCAAAAGATAAGGAATAATCACGAAACTTTTTCTTCTTTCCATTTGGAAGTTACTGATCATTAATAATGGACAATATATACATTATAATTATTTTTAAGACACTACAAGTATTAACGTCCAGTGGCTTTAACAAAATACCCATTCACCATTGGAGTCCAATGATTGGACAACATGTATTCTCGTGTGTTCACATAAAATTTTAATTTCTTTTAGGTATATAAATTCTTTTCAAAGCGAAGAATATTATCCGCTAGGAATACTTTGTCTCTCCTGGGCCGTAGTCACCTATATTTAACTACTTTTTATATGATTTAACTCATCTACGCACCACCAAAACCAAATTAGTTGAATTTTTAATTACGAATTTTGACAACTCAACTTGACAACCGTTCAATGTAACCTACAATAATTTAAACATAACCACAATTAAATTTATAACTATAGTTTAGTTTGTTTTAATCAATGCAACCAATTTTGGTTCCCTATTTACCAACCAAATCCCTAAATTTGTAACGTTGCCGCAGTCCATATAAAAAAATGAACTGTACTTAAAGCCTTAAGGGTATTATTAGTTTTTCTATTATTTTTCAATGATTTTTCAAGGTAGGGTATATTGTTTTTATTTCCAATTCCTGTTTTATAAAATTTTAAAAATTAACGATTCAAAAAGTAGAGAAGAATCAATCTTATTTATTAAAATGACAAATGCAAGCATTCTATAAAAGAAGTTGGTATTTACTTTTGTATAAAATATGGATAAAAAAACACAATTATTCATACATACATATATGTACACATTTTAATGCCTAAATAAATTCCTTAAATTAAAAAAAATACACATAATTAATTAATTCAAAATTATTTTCCTGTAAGCATATTAATAAGGGCAGCCTTTTCTTTTTCCTTCTTCTTAACAACATCAATAGATCGTTGCCTCCAACAACTTTTTCTCAACTTGATGGGTCTACTACCCACATATCTGCCATTCATTTCCTTCATAGCCTTAGTAAAATCGAGGGGGTCCTTAAAACTAACAAACCCATACCCTTTACTTTTATTCGTGCGTTTGTCGCGTATTACTTTCGCCTTTTGAAACGAGGGAAACTTGTTGAACGTTCTTACAAGCAGTTCGTCTGTGACATCGTTACCTAGATCGCCACAAAAAATCCGGAAGTCGTCTTCCGCCCAGTCCGTTAAAGTGTGATCCTCCCACGTGGTACCGCCCGCAGAACGCATTAATTTTCTGTTTTTGGGCCCCTTACGTCTGTGATCATCACTGAAAGACTGCAACGCCGAACTGGCTTTCCCCTGCGATATGGCAAGCTCCGCGCTGACCTTCTCGTTCTTCAGCTTCTTCAGTTTCTTCTCCACCTCGTTCTGCAGCGCCATAAAGTCCACGGCCGCCTGATTCGCAGCTGCCGACGCAGCTGATTGGGTCGTTGCAGCTGGCTGCTTCGGTACGGCGTACATGGCCGGTTTGGCCGACACGACGGCTGGTTTTGCTATTATGGCGTTCGCGGAGTAATGGTTGTCGTACCTTTTGGCCCCTCTGTTGATTTGATGGGGCACAAGAGCGTAACTCGGCACAGAAAACGCGTAAGCGTTCATCATGGATTGCCCCGAGATTTCAGCCTCGAAACGGCTCATTTCGTCCTCCATTTGACGAAATTTGTCCATCTTTACGCTTAGAAATTTCACGATTTTATTTGTTATTGTTGACAACGCTCGCGAACGTCAGAAAACGTTGTGAAGTGGGGTTAATGTTTTTTTGACGTTTCCAGAAAATCGACGGTGGTGACATCTATATGTGAATAGTTTTAAAGTGCGTGTGAATTTTTAATTCATTATTTATTAAAAAATTTAATAACTTATTTGTCTTAATTAAGAGTTGGTTCTTTTAATAAAATGATTTTTTTATGAGTTATTTGTTTTGCTCTTGCTAAAAATAGTTTTTTATATTTAAATAAAGCTTAAAAATCAAATATTACCGATTTTAATAGTAGCGACATCTGTACATTGATGTTCAAACTTATGAAACATTTGAGGTCACTTTTTATGTACAGTCGGTAATGCAGGTTTGATTTTGTGTGACAGGAACTTTATCGGCCATTTCCTTTCTTTTCGTCTGTACACGGCGTAAATAGGTACGTTATTTGGGCTTTCCGTATAATTTTACGTGTTAATTGTTTAATTTTATACATTTCGAAGTGTTTAGAGCACGAATGAAACTACATTGTGCATGGATTGTGTATAATTTGTGCATTATTCGCGTTTGATTGAAGTGTACACAAAATTTAACCATGTGGATGACTTAACCTAACTTTTCAAACTTTGTATTTGTTCCAGGTTTTAAACAATGACTAACTCGAAGGGATACCGCAGAGGAACGAGAGACTTGTTCTCTCGCAAGTTCAAAAAGAGCGGAGTGATCCCTCTGGGAACTTACATGAAAGTGTACAAGGTGGGAGACATTGTCGACATTAAAGGAAACGGTGCCGTGCAAAAGGGTATGCCCTACAAAGTCTACCACGGAAAGACCGGCCGTGTATTCAACGTGACCCCCCATGCTCTTGGAGTGATTGTTAACAAGCGCGTACGTGGCAGGATTATGCCCAAACGTATCAACATCCGTGTCGAGCACGTAATTCATTCCAAGTGCAGGGAAGACTTCTTGACTCGCGTCAAACAAAACGAGAAATTGCGTAAAGAAGCCAAGGAAAGGAATGTAAGAGTTTGCCTTAAGAGACAACCAGCTCAACCAAGGCCTGGATACTTTGTCAGTGGCGAAGTACCAGCTGTACAATTGGCCCCCATCCCATATGAATTTATCGCTTAAGTTGTAAGGTTTCTACAAAAAATTATAAAATAAACACTGTATGGTGGAATATGACTTTTATTTCATTGATGATAAAATAGGTAAACATGACATCTTTTTGTTTTTCCTGTTAAATAAACCTTTTTTGGTAGGTATTTTCATTAAGATCTAAAACAATATTTTTATTATTATTGGCTTTTATTTCAAATGTCAACTTTTTGAAGCCTATAGGCTTCATATCTATCAAACTATCAAGTAATTTTTCAGCTTGACATGAAATATGTTAACGAATTCAAATTTCTCTTCCCAAAAGAACCCTAATCACAAAATTGTATGTAAAAATATTAATTAGGAAAATTGAAAATTAAATTTTAACTCTGTATCTTGGTTATGATCTACTTCTGAATTTAGCCAAGTTTGGTCAAATCGTAATACTTTTAACAAAGGAATCTGCATTTTTACTGTGTACACCCTGTATAAGAGAATGGCATATTTTGTAAATTATAAATATTCTAGTGACATTTGTTGGAAAATGTACTACCAACATAACCATAACCATAGACACAATTACAAAGGATGATTTTTAAAATATTTTCAAAACCCACATATATTTTTCTAAATACAATGTAAATTTGTATTTTTTCTCTAATTTATGGTGGGTATCATGGTTGTGTTGTGGTTGACAACCACTGGTTGTACCATAGATAACTACATTGTACAGTACAATCCAGAGAACAATCCTATCGTAAAATTTGTACTACAAACACAAAACTAGTTTTTTGAATAAAGAATCTGTAGTACAGATGCAAAGAACATTTGTACAGATGGTTGGTACCAAAGAACCAGAGATATATCTCTGCAAAGAACACATATTTAGAGAAATATTGTTGTCTCTGGTTGGTACCAAGTACAAAGTTGGTACCAAGCAGTGTTGCCAGTCGTACCATTATAATGGTATTTATACCATTTTTTTGTACTTCGTACCATCGTCAATTTATGTACCATTTTTTACGATTTTGTATCATTATGTACCATTATTTTTTAGACAGAATTGTAGAATGCTAATTTGGTAAATTTGTGTCCACCTTTATGGTGGAAAATGTAATTTCTTGCCTACCTATGAACACTGTGCCTCTTAGGTAGGCAAGACAAATTACATTTTCCTGCGCCCTCTATTAAATGTTTGTGATATTAAATCAGAGAAGCGCGCAAGTTTCACGCTGAATAATGTATGCTTTGAATAAAAACCTCAGGAAATAGTAAATGAAAATAGCTGACCGCACAGGGAGCTAACCAATTGGTTGTCACAAATGGCGGACTATCGTTTCCGCCAGCTATAACGTTTAATTCTTTGTAAGGTTTAATTATTAAACAACAAAAACGCATAAAACAAACCATAAGCGCTATTAAACAAGAAAAAAACGCTATTAAACAAACCAAAAACGCTCAAACAGGTAAATAAACAAACACAAACTGTCATCTGTCAGAAAAAATGACTCATAATCGGACTCCTAAAATGGCGACTTACGTCGTAAATTTATTACATTAACGAGATTCGGCAGGGTCCTTCCTGAGGTTTTTTATTCAAAGAATGTATGATTAGTGTTCTGTCACAGAACTTCTGTAGTTTGAAAGTTGGAGAAATTTTCTAAATTGAAGATTTCAATGCAATATTTGGATATTTCAAAATGAAATGTGTACCATTGAATACCATTAAATAAAGAACTTGTGTGTACCATTAAATACCATTAAATCGAGAACTTGGTACCACTTATTGTTTTGCTTCACCTGGCAACACTGGTACCAAGTACAAAGTTGGTACGACTGCCTATTTTGATGATCTGTGAAAAATTTGACGAAAAACGTTGTAAATTTCGTTTTGGGTTCCTAATAACTAAAGGTTTATTTGTTATATGAGTGTTTTTTGGTAATAATAAAGAGTTTTTGTGCGGGTATAGTAATAAATAAAGTTCTTCTCTAATCTATAGTAACAACACTAATTCCTGAAGGTAAATATTAATAACAGGTTGTCTATTTTAATATTATTAAAATTATATTATTAATTATAAAAGGTAAAACCTGTCTTTGGAAAAGATAAATGATAATACATATTACATGCACAATTGTGATTACATGTATATATATATATTTATAAAAAGTCCCACATTAACATTTTAATACAAATACTTGAGCAAAGATTTTATTAAATATACTCATTTGGGCTATAATGGTTACCATTATAACACTAAAAGCTTTTAGTGTTATAATGGTAACCATTATAACCCGCATAACAACGGAAATAATTATTTCATTAATGAACGTATTATTATGCATCAGTGATAGGTCAATTTTTATATTCACTGTGATTTGAACCAATCAGGTTTTAGGTTGGAATGGTTGGACTATAACAATCAAAGAACACCTTTGTAAACATTTTTTTAAATCGGGAGAAAGTGAGGTTATAATAAATTAATAATAATAATAAATTAAATTAATTGGAGTAGAAAACCAGGTTTACCTTTTACACTCGAGATAATGTACCTCTTGAATAATATTGCTCTATCCTTTAATAATTATTGTACCAGATTTTGTACAAAGTAAACTCTTATTTCAATGTTTTAATTAGGTATTCACTGAACAGTTTTTGCACATTCAATACGAACAATGTGCATAATTGTTTTATTTGAAAGTCTCGAAATGTTACCTACAGTTTTTTCAATTAAACTCGTACAGTTTTTGAATATAGGTACATTTTCATTAGGTACTACAAAAAATAAAATCTTTGATATAAACACTCTTGTATAACAACCTCTGATTGTTTGTTTAAAATTTCTTTTTTATTTGTTTCAAAAAAATAATTTTTAATTTAACAAAAATAAGAAAAACATTCCTGTAAGTGTAAAATTAACAACCTCATTTTTCTTAGTGTATATAGTGTATACTATAGTTATTTATTTAGTTATAATTATTTTCAGGCGATATGGAAAACGAAACAATGAACCAGTTCACCAATGATCTCTTGAAAGAAAAACTATTCAACTGCCAGATTTGCGATGAAATTTGCACGTCTGAAATATTACTGGTCAAAGGCAAAGGAAACGTGTGTGGAAAATGTTTTGAGGAAAAGTGCGGGGAGGAACTGAAATCGAGAGCAGAATTAAACACGGCTCTAATCTTTATTCTCTCCAAACTTAATTTGCCGTGCAAATTTCAATCCAAAGGCTGCGCTGAAAGGATCGCGTCCAAGAAGTATTTCAAGCACATTGCAAGATGTGAATTTAAAACAAAACCCTGCCCCATGGTCAATGTTAAAAGTTGTAAATGGAGTGGAAATAATCTGGAAGTAGCCGAACATATTCAAGAGGTTCATAAAGAAGATGTTATTAAAAGTGATAATAATATATTTAAAGTTGAGGCGTCTTTGACTGAGGGTTTCAGTGTCAAGTTATTATCCGACGACTACAACAACTGTATTTTGGAGACTTCAGTTCTAGATAATACATTTTACTACGCTTTACATGAAGTTAAACACTCTGAGGAAAATATGGAATATTCCGTCAAACACAAGAGTATTGAAACATCAAACAAAACAGTAATAAACACGGTGGGTACTCTTACTAAATTGAATGGAATTTATAATGAAATGAACTTGTATAAAAACCCTAACGCGACTGCGGTGGATCTTGATGCGTTGGATATTCTTGCAGATGAAAAAGATATGATAATAAACGAATTCAATCTTAACCCGAAGGGCGTTGACGAAAACATTCTTAAACTATTAGAATGTCCTGTCTGCATGAACACTATGAGGACGCCAATTTATCTGTGCTCTCAAGGACATAGTGTTTGTGTACTGTGTCATGAGGAGTTAGATGAATGTCCAACATGTAAAAACAAGTGGAGCAATGGAAGAAACTACTTGATAGAACACCATTTGACAGATATCAAATATCCGTGTAGGTACAATAAATTTGGGTGCAAAAAAATTGACGTTGAAAATCGACTAAATAAACACGAAGAATCATGTGTTTTCACAGTCTATCAATGTCCTATGGGTTGTTCAAAGTCTGGAAACCATGCAGCCATTTTGGAACATTTAAATAGTGAACATGCAGATATGAAATATGAGGAAGAATCAAAAATAGAGTATTCAGAAAATAAAGAAGAAGCCATTAAATGGATGATGTTTGATTTGAATTTATTTCGATTATCATATAATTTTAAGGAAGATATAAACTTTGCGGTCGAGTTAGTTTGTTCTCAGAAAAAAAAACAATATAAGTATAAAATAACCAAAGTAGTGTTGATTTCAAAAGTTTTATGGCATGCATACAAAAGCGCCGTTTGCTTTAATGACAGAAGAAACTGGGAACAGTTTGGTAGCTATACTGGGCCAAAGTATTTTATGATTTCCATCACAGAAAGTAATTAAATTTATGTTTAATAAAATAACATTTAAATCATTTGTTTAATAATATTTTGTTTTTTAATAATAAATTCCATCAAAACATTTTTTTTTAATTTCTTTATTTTATTTGAACTAATATTGGTTTATTTATAAAATACCTACCACGAAAATATACATTATGTCCACGGATAGGGTTACAAAAAGAAAAAGAAAATTCTTTCATGATTTTAAACCCTCAGAATATTGGGCCATATTTTTTTTAATGCATTAAACAAAAATGAGGAAAAATAATAGGAAAAATATTTCGCTAGCAGGAATGAAACCCGAGCCTCTTAGGTAAATTTACTATTTACTAATTAAAATAAGGTTTTATTATAATAGCTCAGGCAGGCTTGGAATGATTGAGCACAAATGCGCACTCATGGTAGAAATAAAATAATGGATTCAAAGATTCATAAGGTATATTTATCGGTACCTATTATCGGTACATATATATATGTGAATTATTACTATACAGGGTGTCCTGAAATTAGTGCACCATACTTTAACAGCAGATTCTACGTGCAAAAATAAGAAAAAAAGTCCCTATAAACATAGGTCAAGAAATGCGTCTTAAGGGAGCTACAGCCCCCAAAAGGAAAGCCCCTGAAGATGGTTTTTATTTAATATCTCCAAAACCGTTAAAGATAGAAAAGTGAAATTTAGGGAATTAATTAAACTTTTTATGACCAATAAGACGTAACAATAACAATTTAAAAAATTTCATGAGGTTTGGGTCAGATTGATAGAAAGTGGGGTTAAAACCACCTTAACTTTTTTGTACGTATCTTGTACCAGAATTTGATGTCAGATTATGAAAATTTGGAGTTTTGCACATAAAAAAGGTCATCCTGTTGAACTTCCTTAACATACACCGTTTTCGCTTAAAATCGATTTGAAAATTATTTTACATGGCATAAAAATTCACAATTAAATCACAACCATAGAAATGGACTCGCGTGGTCCTTGGAATACGACTGTTATGTTTAGAAAAAAATAGAATAATTCAAGACAGGTGACAGTTTCATGTAGTAAGTGACAGGGTGTTTCTACTTTTTTATAAATATTAGATAAAAACCATATTGAGGGGCTCCCTTTTCGGGGGCTGTAGCTCCCTTAGGAGGCATTTTTCGATCTATATTTATAGGGACTTTTTTTCTTATTTTTGCACGTGGAATCTGCTGTTAAAGTATGGTGCACTAATTTCGGAACATCCTGTATAGGTAATTTTGAAGAAATTTACAATGTGGGATATTTAACAGAATTTCAAAAAATTTTTTGAACAACCGACAGGTCGACATGCGCATTTGTATTTCAATATTTTAAACGCGCTTTAAAAATAATAACAATTAAGGAAAACAATATTTAAAAGAAAATGCTATTGGAACGAACCTATTATGTTTTATTATGTAATATTACTGCGGTTGGAACAAACCTTTTGTATTATAAAATTTAGCGCTATCTTTGGGAAAAATGAAGTTTGACGTATGTCAAAATAAAAAAAACTCTCATAACCTCAATGTTTGTAAATTTACTAAAAAACACACGATACAGTGTATCCATGATAAAATAAGAGCCGGAAAAAACAATAAACATGCTAAAATAATCAGTTTTTGCATGTTAAAGTAATCACAGAACAAATTATGATCTACAAGCAACAAGTTGTAAAAATAGCTATATTCTCAAGATTTCTGATATTTGTTATGCAATATGTGTCAAACCACTTGATAGAAGACCACGATCCCGACGTATTCCGATACCCAACTGATGTGAAGAATTCCATCTACGATAAAGTGGTACAAAACCTATTTGGGGGATTTTTAAGATGGGACGGCCAATATTTTATGCACGTGGCCAAAAATGGTTACACCTACGAAAATTCCATGGCATTTTTCCCCTTTTTTCCTGTGATTATAAGACTGATCAGTGAGTTTTTACAAAATTTCATACCATTTTTAAACATTGACTCCATATTGTTGTTAGTATTTATAGCATTTAACTATTTATTGTTTATTAAGTCTGTTGTTGTTTTGTATGAGCTGTCTGAAATTATTTTATACCCAAGTATTGCCTATAAGACGGCTGTGTTATTTAGTTTTAACCCTGCATCAGTATTTTTTTTGGCTCCTTATTCTGAGACTTTATTTTCGTATTTAACGTTTAAGGGGATATTGAACTGTTTAAAATTTTATCAAAAATATGCTGATAAAAGTACTGATTTTAACGTGACTGATTTAAAATATGTTATACCCATTAGTTTAAGTACTTGTACTCGATCCAATGGGATTTTGAATATCGGGTTTTTTATGTACACTTTGGTGTGTTTGTTTTTGAAGAACTACCCTGTAAAGTTGTGGGGGCAATTTATATTTACACTAAAGTACGCCTTTTTGGTTGTTTTTTACAGTGTAATATGCATTTTGCCTTTTATTTTATACCAAGAATTTTGCTTTGACATATTTTGTAAAAATTTTACCAATGATATTCCAGATTATATAAAAAATTATGCTAATTTAAGAGGATATGTTTTACAGGGCGAGCATTACAAACACAACCAAACATGGTGTAACGAAAATATACCATTGGCATATTCATATGTACAGAGTTATTATTGGAATGTGGGTTTTTTAAAATATCACCAAATAAAACAAATACCAAATTTTTTACTAGCCAGTCCTATACTGGCTATAATTATTTTTAATTGCCTCATTTACTTTAAAAATAATTTATCCTTCAACATTCTCAGCGTATTTTCATTTAGTAGAATTTACGAAAAAACTAAAACTTTGAATATATTAAAAGAGCCTACGTTATTTGCTTTTGTGATCCATTCTTTCGTTTTTTCGGTATTTTGTTTCTTTTGTATACATGTCCAAGTTTCGACGAGAATGCTATGTTCTTCCACGCCGTTTATATACTGGGTGTGCGCTTATCACCTACAAAATATCGATTTTAGAAGCTTTTCGGATATTTTGTTCATCAATAAAAAGCATTGCACATTTTTAGAGAAGCTTATAATGGGCTATTTTATTTTGTACTTTATAGGGGGCACTATATTATTCTGTAACTACCTACCTTTTACTTGATTATTGGCAAATAAAAATAGGTTTTTCAATAAAATGTTTTATTACCTTACACAATAAAATAAAATTTTACTTATATTAATTAATCAACATATACAAATTAAATAATATTGGAAGATGCTTCAAAATATATCTACAACTAATTGGGAACCAAAATAAAATATCTAAAATTTAATACATAACAGCAATACTTCAACTAAAGTTGTGCATTTTTTTTATAAAATACCTATTTTCCTATTATATGTAACTACATATTTAAGGCAGTTAATAATAATAAATAAAGTTTTTATTGCATATTCAGTACAATACAGAACATATAATACAAAACATACAAAAGGCCATCGACCGGGGTCCTTCAGCCTGCTAAGGCAGTTATTTACATGATTAAGTAGTTTTGTTATAGAAAATATTTGGTTTTTGTAAAAATAAAAACTATTGAATATAAATATTTGTTTGTCTATTAGTTTTATGTTGAAGTTCAATATATTTACAAATTACATTTTTATGTATTAAGACACCATTTTTGGACGGATCTAGTCATTAACAATCTTCTATAAAATATACAAAACAATCTACCTATGTTATATCTAGAGTCTTCTAGGCCTAGGTTTTCCTATTTTTGGATACGGCGTTTGTTTTTTAAATTTATGAGGCAATTTTATTTATTTTTTACATTTTAACATTTTACGTGTGTGATTCTACCGCTGATTTAATAGAGTTAAGGGCTTTGGCGATATGCCTCAATCTATGTTGCGGGACGGCGTCATATAAATGTTTTTGGAAATTTGGATTTTGCATTAAAATGGAAAACATGCTTTTGGCATATTTTCTAGCTTCCAAAGATCCATCTGCCAAAGAATTTGCAGCTGCAACTAGTATCCTAAAAAAATATTTTATTATTATTAATATTAAATAAATTATATTAAAAAGTATTATATTTAGACATCGGTTAATGAGAACTTTTAAAGTAAAACCTAATGAAATGAAAATCAGAAAAATTTAAAACTAATTTTAAAAATGGTAAAATAAAAGTTTAAAAAATGATAAAATAAAGGAAAAACATCAATGGTAAAAATGTTTTAAAGAAAAAGGTGAAATATTCGAAACAAGGTTTAAAAAATAGTAAAAAGAATTGTTTGAAGAATACCAAATTAATGAAAAAACATGAATAGTAAAAATATTTCAAAGAAAAAGGGAGAAAGCATAAAATATTCAAAACAATTGTAAAAACCATGGTTTTAAAAATATGATTAGTAAAAATGTTTCAAATAAAAAAATGAAAACCTGAAAAATTCTAAACAAGGTTTAAAAAATAGTAAAATCCATGGTTCCATAAATAAAGAAAAAAACATGAATAATAAAAATTTTTCAAAGAAAAAGAATATTAAAAATGTTTCAAAGAAAAAAGTGAAAACCTGAAATATTCAAAACAAGGTTTAAAAAATTTATTTTTTTTTTTTTGAAAGAAAAAAGTGAAAGCAAGTCAAAATAAGACGAAAATCTAAATAAATATTTTTCCTAATTACGTATGTTTAAAAGATACAGGGTGATAAAGTGTTACTTAAGTAACACTTTATCACCCTGTATCTTTGATATGATATGATAATTATCATATCCGTTTTTTTTAATATAACCTCTACTATGGTAGACTTGGAAAGGTGATATTTTGCGAACAGTCACTTACTACCAAAACACATATTCACACATAATTACAATTGTTTGAGTGAACACAGTGTCGTAGAAACAGGGGTTGCTTAATCTTATTGTCCCATACAAACTTTGAGGTTAGGTTTTTATACCATTTGATGCAATTTTTCGATTACTCAGTTCGGCTACTATTAAAAAGGTGTACCTCTCAAACTTCGATAAAATTAACCGTTTTCGAGATATTTGAGATTACAATAATTGTTATATCGCATTAAAGGACGAAAATTTATATGATAAAAAAAAATTTAATTGAAAAAACT